TGTAGGAAAAGAAAACAGACATTAGAATCGGAAGATCTGGGTTGAGATCTTAGTACTCTCAACTTACGATTTGGTCATCTTCTCATCCAGAATGTCAGTTTCTCATCTATACTGTGGCCATAATCTTACTGCCTTCTAGTTCAAGATTTCAAGTATGAAATGTATATACACATATCTTCTCTTGAAACTTTAAGTGAAAACATTAAGATACTTAATGGAGGAGAAAAAAAAAAGATTAACAGGGACTAGAACTTTTAAACATGGAAGGCTACATTTCCAGTGCTATGTCCAGAAAAACCTTCAGAAAGCCTGGACATTCTCTGGCAAATTCAAGTTTAAGGGTAAATTGGAAAGATGTATGACAAATGGCCTAACAAAGTTTAGCCCTCTCACTCCCTGCTCCAGACATGAAGTTCCTCCTCTAGAGACAGAGTCCCTAAACAGATTGTTAGTCTTCTTTTTTTTTCTCCATTGTGCGTAGGTCCCAGAAGGCAATTCACTTACTAAAAGGTTTATTCCTATAAACAATTATCAAGAAGGTCCTTAATGTTGAGAGCATAAAAAATAAGAATAACTATTTGCTTCTTGAACACTTCTAAGTGTCAAGCACATTATGTATTTTCTTATTTAATCTTTCTAATGCTGTGAAATAAGTAATGTTTCTCCCATTTTATAGATATGAAAATGGAGTGGTAGATTTCAAATCAGTCACAAAATCCTTAGGCTTTTAGTCACACATTAGCTATTTGGCCTCGAAATAGAATTGGGAGCCTAATGACAGAATTTCCTTAAGTTCCTGTTTGGTTTGGTTTTTCTTAAATTTTAGTTTACTGATGTTGCTCTCTCATGTTTTCTCTCCCGACTCATTTTATGGCTTGAAACATGGGAATAAAAGAATGCTTGGGAAATAAAATATTTATAGCTATTTAATTGCCTTATTCTTTTGGTGCTAAGCAAAGAATTCTCTTGGTTTCAACTTTTAGAATAGTCTTTAATAGAACCAGTCCCTCTCCTTCCCTGAAGGTTGTGGGGTGAACAGATTTTTAACCTCTGTCATCCACAACACATAATGCTTCATCTGTACCAGCTCCTTGGGCCTAGTATTCATAGCTTCTGGCTTTTTGGTGGTTAATTGGAGATAAGAGTCTCACAGACTTTCCGTCCCGGCTAGTTTCGAACCATGGTTCTTAGATCTCAGCCTCCTGATCAGCTAGAATTATAGGCATGAGCCACCTGTGCTAGGCTCAGTTTGTCTATTTTTAAGTGGTTAAAAAAGATGAATATTTCCTTACATGTGAAGAGTAGATGAAAGTCAGACTTCTGTGTCCATACATTAGCCCAGCCCGCTCATATTGTGTATTTATCGCATGGCAGTGCAGAGTTGTACTTGCCACAGACTTTTTGGCTTGCAAAGCCTGAAAAGTTACCTTCTGGCCCTTTAAAGGGGAAGTTTGTCAAATCCTGACAAAATCTGGTGTAGAATAATGCTTAAAAAAAAACACGGATCTCGCCAGCGCTGGTGGTTCACACAGGAGGCTGAGGAAAGCTGAGGATCCTGTTCAAAGCCAGTTTGAACAGTCTGTGAGACTCTTATCCCCAATAAAAGCCAAAAGCGGGGCTGTGACTCAAGTGGTAGAGTGCTAGCAACCCCATGTCCAGCAAAAAAAAATGCTATGAGAACCAATCATGTGTATTCTTAAGATAAAATTACTCCTCACCAACCTATCTTTCTCCACCCAGACAACAGAATTCCTGGTGGTTCATGCTATCAAATTTTTCACTCCGGTTCTGTTAAAGGGGAAGGAAAAGATGCCTTTAAATGGTTCAACTTTGTTTACTTCAGTGACTCTTTAGCTAACCTCGTGTGTGTGCAGGCTAATCTTATTTTTTAGATATGATAGAAAACTTGTTTCTGGCTTTTGTCAGCAGAGGAAAGCCATTATCTTTTGAACTTTAGAGTAATTAAATTTCAGGGACTAATGGATTTATGACTGCATATGACTTCTAGTCATGCCAAGTTCAATAGATATTAAAGTAAACCAGATGTTGTGATAGATACACTGTTGTGAATGTTGCCAGGGAAAGAATGTGTTACTGTTCTTCCTGAAACTAACCCAATAAAAATTGCTGGGTAACTTGTCTGTTTTCTTGTTTTTTGTTTGTTTTTTTTGTTGGTCATGGGACTTGAACTTTGGGCTTGGGTGCTGTCCTTCAGCTCTTCAGCTCAAGGCTAGCACTCTACCACTTGGGTCACAGAGCCACTCCAGTTTTCTAGTGGTTTATTGGAGATCAGGGTCTCCTGGACTTTCCTGCCTGGGCTGGCTTTGATCTATGATCTTCAGATCTCAGCCTCATGAGTACACCTGTAATCCTAGCTACTTAAGAGGCTGAGATCTGAGGATCCTGGTTCAAAGCCAGCCCCTGCCAGAAAGTCCGTGAGATTCTTATCTCTAATTAACCACCAGAAAACTGGGAGTGGCGCTGTGGCTAAAGTTGGTAGAGTGCTTGCCTTGAGGTAAAAAGCTCAGGGACAACATCTGGGCCCAGAGTTCAAGCCCCACGAATTTTATGAAATGTGAGTGAGTAGCTAAGATTGCTTCTGCTCTTTTTCCCAGAAGTGGTAGATGACTGAAGTTTTATTTATAAGCCTGAAGTTTTATTTATAAGCATCTAGGCCTCTTTTCCTTGATGAATATGGTTTTGTAGTTTTTCGAGCTGTGAAGCTTGAGGGTTGAGAATAGGATCTTTTAATTGCAAAGAAATGGGGAAACTATTAAAGTGTGGATGCAACCCTGATTGTTTCTAGCTGAGCATAAGAAAGAGTAAACTCGATTTTCATAGAGTCTACTCAGCTTCCTGTTCTCTTGATTTGCAATCCCATATACTTACAAGGGTTTGAAGACACTCTGCTTGACAATGGAAAGTGAATGCAGACATGATCTGGGCAGTGCTTTCTGGTTTGTCTTCATGTGCCTCTCTTTGAAACTATATTTCCTAAGAATCTCAATAGTCAAGCCTAGACTGGCAGTTTTTATGTATGAGGAGAGGAAGGGAGGTAACATCAAGACACAAATTAAGTCTTTTAAGAAACTTTCCTCAAAAAGAGCAAATGTGTGGATTTCCCTCATTTTCATCATGCAAATTTGAATACTCAAATAGAATAGAGGGTTATAGAAAGGTATCATCTATATTTATGGAACATTGATTCAACTTTATAAGCTGAATTAGCACTAATCCTTACTTTTTACCGTTGAAGTAACTAAGGCCCAAATATCCTTTCTATGATGGATGCTGTGTTAAACATTGGAATATGAAACTGAGTAAAAGCATAGCTTATTGGTATAGTATTTGGCTAGCATATGTGAGGCCCTGGGTTTTATCCCAGCACCACCAAAAGAGGGGGGAAGGGTAAAAAGATACCTCCGAACCCTTAGGGAGTTTATAGCATAGGACACAGAGATGTGTGTTTTGGAGTATGAGAATATAGGACAATATTTTAGAAAGCTCCAAATGCTGTCAGGTGTAAGTATCTGTAGTCCATCTGTTCTTGCTTAGAATCTGTGGGACTCAAAATCTAGACCTTTAAGCCTGGCACAAAGCCCTAAAACTGTCTTTTGCTATAAATAGGCATCACTGGAATTAAGAAGGCTTCCTTCCTCTGTATGACTATCAGATTTCATTTTCAAAATCCCTGTGTGTTGTACTTACCCAGTTTAGATATTGTCTCAAGAAAGTACCCCAAACATGAAAACAAATTAAGGAATACTTTTTAAATTCAGTAGTTCAGGGGTCAAAGAGACACAGAATGGGGGCTTTGTAGTAATTGACTTGTATTTGGATCACATTGTGACCATGGGAAAATTATGTTGCCTCAATTACCTCATTCTTAAAATGGGATTAAAAATGCTGGGGCTGGGAAGGTGGCTCAGTAGTAGAGTGCTTGTCTTGCATGCATGAGGTTTGATTTCTCAGCACCACATAAGCAGAAAAAGCCAGAAGTGGTGCTGTGGCTCAAGTGGTAGAGTGCTAGCCTTGAGCTGAAGAGCTGAGGGACAGGGCCCAGGCTCAAAGTTCAGGCTCCACAACTGACAAAAACAACAACAAAAAACCATGATAAAAATACTTAGCTTTTAGATCTAAAATACATTAGGACATAGTAAATTATACAGGTCTCTAGGCATTCACACACAGTAAGACCAAAGGAGCATACTCTTAGGAGAGGAACAGAAAGACACAATGCTTGTCTGCATCTGATCATCATACAAAATAATATTTATTGAAATGAACTCCAGGAAATGGAAATAAGGGGTTTTTTTCACTTTTTTGTTCTCTTTCCTTTTTGTTCTGTTTGTTTATATGTCATTGGGAGTATAAGGGGACACAGAGAAATGGAGGGACAGGATAAACAAATGTAGCAGGGTACTCAATGGACACTATGTTGAAAATGAACTTGGGGCTGGGGGCAGGAGGGAAAAACTGGGGGAGAGCGAGGGAAGGGGTGACATTATCCAAAAAGAAACGTACTCACTACCTCACTTATGTAATTGTAACCTCTCTGTACATCACCTTTAGAATAACAATAAAAATTAATTAATTACTTTTTAAATAGTACTTGGCTTCACTAGGCAAGGTGGCACATACTTATAATCCTAACGTTTTCTTGAGACAGGACAGTCATGCATTTGGCTACATAGTGAATTTGAGGCTACTGGGCTATATGCCAAGACCCTGTCTCACAAAGCAAATAAAAAATACTTAGCCTCCCAGGACTGTTGTGAGAGTTAAGTGATACACTTTTCTTGCTCGATAAAAGAAAGAATAGTGTGTTACATAGATTGGGGAATAGAGAACCCCACTCTAGGGTTGTATGAGGATTAATGTGAAAAGTAATGCTCAGCACAAAGCTCTGAATTGCTAGTGGGGATATAAAGATGAGGATGATGCAGGCAGCAGCCATGTTAATTCCAGTGATTCAAGCTATGTGGTTTTGTTTTCAACAGATAGCCCAAATAAAGGCCTTGGACCTTGTGGATGGATTTTGGTGGCTGCCTCATTCTTATTCACACTTATAACTTTCCCAATATCGATATGGATGTGCATAAAGGTAAAGACCTTTTCATTTACATCAGGATGGAGTCCGTTCCTACTTACTCAACCTACTTTTATGTGTGTAAGAGATGTAGATGGTCTAGCCTGTAATTTGTTTTCCTCTTTTGGAAAACTGATTCTACTCATCAATTATACTGGAATCGTAATGCTTTTTTTAAAAAAAATTCCCAGCCATCTAATTTTAAAATAAGAATTGCCATCAGATATTTTCTGGATCAGGGATATGAGATGTTCTTGGAGTGCAAGTTCTCAAGAGTTAGCAATGGCGAGGTTCAAGTGCTGACTCCATGGTTCACTCATGGGTCCTCACTTATAAAGTGGAATTGAACCACGACACCTCCTTCTTCAGGGAACTATGATAAGGGTAAAATGAATTGATGAGCCTGACTGTACTTATTGCAATTTCTGCCATATCATAAGGGAAAAGGCTCTTTCGCCTACAAAATTATCAAGGTTTAGATAAGTGACTATCGTTTACATGTTCTTAGAAAAATAAAATCTGCTCCAAGCTTTTTCAGATACTTTTAATTTTAAAGATCAGAACAAAAACCTTTGGAAATAGAGCTGTCGCTCAAGTGACCTTAAGCAAATACGCTCACGGACAGTACCCAGGCCTTGACTTCAAGCCTGGGACCAGCACAAAAAAAAAGAAAAGAAAAACCTTAAGCTTTTTTTTCCTGAATAAACAATACATGAACAACTGATTATAAATGGTCACAGCTGAGGAATGAGGTAATAGATGTATTTCTGTATTGTGTTCTATACTTTGTAAATTTCTACAGCGAATATTTTCTAATCAGTATGAAAATAGCAAATGTCGTGCTTATAAAGAGTAAAAGATTGCACATGTTGTTTATAGATAATGTATGGGTACGGAGAAAAGGTAGGAGATAGCAAACCTGTTTAGAATGTAAGTGCATATTTAAGACTGTGTATGTGTCTATGCTCCTCATGTTAAATTATTATTTATTTTTTTTAATTCTAGATTATAAAAGAATATGAAAGAGCCATCATCTTTAGATTGGGTCGCATTTTACAAGGAGGAGCCAAAGGACCTGGTCAGTACTGGGATGCAAGGAGGATTATCTGAAGAGTAACTTTTAAAAATACTAATAATAACAATAATAAAGATCTTGCCTTTTTGCCTAGGGCCAACTTCATACTACAGTCTTCCTACTTGTGACTGCTCTGATAGCTGGGACCACCAACTCATGACACTACACCCATGACACTACACCCATGACGCTACACCCATGACGCTACACCCTGCTTGTTGATTAATATGGGATCTTGCAAACTTTTTTGCCTAAGCTGATCTTGAACCATGATCCTCCTGATCTTTGCTTTCCAAGTAGCTGGCATTACAGGGCTTTTTTTTTTTGCTTTTGTATTTGTAGGAAGAGGGTGTTTCATTTTGGTTTTGTGCTGGTACTAAGGCTGGAACTTAGGACCTTGTACTCTCACTTGGCTTTTTCACTCAGAGTTGGTACCCTACTGCTTGAGACACAGATCCACTTTTGCCTTTTTGGTAACTAATTGGAGATAAGAATCTCACAGTTTTTTGGTTTTTGTTTTTGGGTTGTTTTTTTTGTTGTTTTTTTTTTTTTGCCTGGGATGGCTTTGAACTGTGATCCTTAGATCTCAGCCTCCTGAGTAGCTGGCATAAATTACTCATGCTTGTTTAGTTTTTTTTGAGAAAGGGTCCTCAATATAGCATAGGCTGGCCTTGAACTTGTTATATGGCCTAAGTGGACATTGAACTCTTAACCATTATGCTTTGACCTCCCACATACTGGGATTATAGACTTAAACCATCATACCCTCCTCACTTGAGACAGGAGCATTCTAATTGATGAGATTTCCCTGTGATAGCAGACATTGTGTAACAATACCTGTGGTTCTAGCCAGTCTCAGTATTCTCCATCCCTGTGCACCCTTCCTCCTCCCCTTCCCCTTTGAGCCCAGAAGATTATCTTTAGACAGGAATGGTTACAGCTTTAGAAGTCAGAGCATGAGAATCCCTACTAAGGAAAGGCCTTTAGTTACTCATCTGGCACACTTCAGTGAAGTTCCTACTGTGTTCCCAAGGCCTGGGAATTGAAGCAAGAGTAGAACACAGTCCCTTCCCTCAAAGCTTTGTCCAGTAGCAGGACACTAACAAGGAAATGGATAACTACATCCCATGGGATAGGTCTTATGAACAAGAGACTCTCAGAGCAGGGTACCTAACCTCAAATAGCAGTAGGTGAGAAAGACAGGCTTTGTGTGTGTGTGTGTGTGTGTGTGTGTGTGTGTGTGTGTGTGTGTGTGTGTGAGAGAGAGAGAGAGAGAGAGAGAGAGCATGCTTTCATGCGTCCATCAGGCACGCATGCTGATATTAGGGCTTGAACTCATAGCCTGGGCACTGTCCCTTAGCTTTTACCCTGAAGGCTGGTGCTCAACCACTTGAGCCACAGCTCTGCTTCTGGATTTTTGGTGCTTAACTGGAAATAAGAGTCTCACAGACTTTTTCCTACTTAGGCTGGCTTCAAACCACAAACTTTAGATCTTAATGTCCTGAGTAGCTAGGATTACAGGCATAAGCCACCAGCATGCAGCTAAGCATGCTTCCTGAAGGAGACATCCTAGCAGAGACTTATGGCAGGGGAAGGTGTTGACCACCAAGAAGTGTTCCTAACAGACACAGCACCACATACAAAGCAGTGTAAGGGAGACAGTGTGTTGAGTCATCAGGGAATCCCTCCAGAGTCATCAGGGGTCAGATATGCAGATATGCATACAGGATACGCAGATATGGCTGAAGAGGTGGCCTATGATGGGTCATGCAAGTCCATGCCTAGGGCAGGGTTGGTATCTTAGCTGTGGAAGAATAACTACCAGAAACAAAAAGATGGCTTGAGAAAAGATTTTCATTGAAAGAAAAAATGTCCACAGCATGGAGTAAGGAAATGAATTCCACAGGCCTCCGTGGGGACAGTTCAAGGTGGGAAGTGGGCAAAGGGAGTCAAGGACAACATTCTGAGCTTCTAAGTTTTTCACAAAGAAAACTTGGTGACTTGCATTGAGTAGGATTGGGCTGGTCACATCACTCTGGTCACTCTGATCCTATGTGTGTCTTTGTTACAGGTTTGTTTTTTATCTTACCCTGCACTGACAGCTTCATCAAGGTGGACATGAGGACCATCTCATTTGACATTCCTCCTCAGGAGGTGAGCTCCTCCTTCACCTTGGCTAACTGAGGAATTATGGTCATGACGGACCATAATTAATGCTAATGGGAGTGTCGAGTTACTGTCATTATTGTCATTACGTTTACTATCATCATTATAAATTTCTGAGAGAAACTCCTATGTAGCCCAATATTCTTTCCTGTTATGACCATTTCATTCACGAAACATGGGTTAGAAGCCAAAGGATTAGAATTGCTCCTTTGGAAGTTTAAATGTATTAGAGGTCATACTGTACTTTTTCAGACTATGTCACAAAGTTGTCACCATTGAAATAGCAAAATACCAGAAGAATACAGACGAAGGTTCATTCCTCAGACTTCAGTGGCAAAACCAGGATTAAATCTAGTTTAGTCCTTGAGGTCCCTGTCTGGTGCTTTCCTTAGCTCAGTATTAGTTGCATTCTTCGTTAGTTCTGTCATGCCCTTTATACCCTTGTCTTAGGAATCACAGAAGCCATGGTAGACAGAAAACCTTCAGGCAGGCTGATGGAGATGGGGGAATCCTGTCTTGTTTTTTGGCCTATGGAACTAGGCACAGTGTTGGAACCTGGTCATGTTGCCTTTTCTAATCACAAAATCCAGAAAGCAGCTTAGACAGGACCTTGCTGGTTCTGATCCAAATAGTTGATGAGGTCAGACTTTTTAGTGCATACAAGCTTGGTGGTACCAGAAATCATCAAAACGTCCATTTCATCCATAAAAACAAATCCAGAGCCAGTTGGCTCACTCCTATAATCCTATAATCCTAGCTATTCAGGAGGCTGAGATCTGATTTTATGATTCAAAGCCAACCAGGGCAGAAAAGTCCTTGAGACTCCTATCTCCAATAAACTACCCAGAAAAAGCCAGAAGTGGAGCTCTGCCCAAGTGGTAGAGTGCTAGCCTTGAGCAAAAAAGCCTAAGGAACAATGCCCAGGCCCTGAGTTCAAGTCTCAGGACCAGCACCAAAAAGTGAAAGTCCCAGAGCTCTGCTCTATCTCTTGCATGGTCTATCTTTCAGAGAAGATAGGCTCTCAGAAGACCCCCTTTCAGGATTTCTTGGATTCCTGGCATCTTCCTCTGTAAACATTGCAGGCATCTGTTGAGGTTGCTGAGAGCTGCGCTGCCTTCCAGCTGCTCTCCCCTCCCTGCAAGTGGATGAATGCAGAGCTGATTGGACTTGGCAAGCAATTCTTCCCTCCACCCTCACCCCTCTGTGAACACTCTGCCTACAGTAAACACTTGCCGGAGAAGCTGCAGCTTAGCAAGCAACTGAAGCAGAGTCAGTGGCAAGATTCTGTTAGAAAAGACATTTGCTTTCCCATCACTTTATGGAAAACAGTTTTCACATAGAGTGATAATACACTCCGTCTATCTGCAGATCCTTCTCTTTGCTTCTAAGTTAGAGGTATTTTTGGATTACTTACCGAGAGGAGGGGAGGATTGCTTTGATGCCTGGTAGAGCTAAACAGCTACTTAGCAAGATGGTTGTTTTTCCCTTCTATTTATGTAGCATGTTATACTTTCCAAGGGACATCTTTTACATGAATCTAGTTTCCTTGATCTTCACAGAAATTTGGGTAGAATTGGAAGGTATTGTCAGCACAGGCTTACCAGGACACATAGTTTAAAGCCCTGCTAGATAGAGGGTGCCAAGAGCACATGCTGAGCTGGAACTGTGTTTGCTTCCATGCTCTTTGTCATTCATTCTTTCTAGCACCGTGATTCAGTTCAATTCATCCCTTCCTCAGTGACCACCTGCCATGTATTAAGCACTCTACCAATGCTAGAGATACAAAGAGTTGCCCCTAGCAAATTCATAGGCTAGGCTGGGCATGGTGGATCAAGTCTTAAATCCTTAGGGGATTATGGTTCAAGGCCAGCCTGGGCATCAAAGTTTGCAAATCTCCATCTCAGCCAATGGCTGGGCACAGTTGTGTTGTCCCAAGCTATGGCGGAAAGCACAGAGGCTTGGCTCAGTGGCATGCCTCTGTAACCCCAGCAACAAAGGGAAGCACAAATAGGAGGGTTGCAGCCCAGGCATAAGAGCAAGACTATTTCAAGAATAAGCAAGGCAAAAAGAGAATGAAGGAATAGCTCAAGTGATAGATTGCCTGTGTAGCAAGTGCAGGGCCCTGAGTGAAATAGGACCATTGGGTCTGGCCAACCCCTTCTTGGCCACATGCTGGATGGTAAGGTCTGGCATCTTTACTTTGGTAGAAGATGAAGCCACTGACTCCTAGGGGTAAAAGGAGTGGCCTCCCAGGTTAGGGGGTTTGCCTGAATGGTTGGAGGCAAGGACGGGCTTTTGGCTGATAGGTTACTAAACCTGTCATCCAGTGCCTGAAACTGGGAGTTTCCTGTGACCCTGCCCCCTGACCTGAGCCTATTTAGGCCTGGGCCAGTGTTCCTGTCCTGTCTCCTATCTCCTGCTTGTTCCCCAGCCAACATAGTATCACAATGGTGTTTTTTGTTCTTTCTTCCCTCTTTGGCCTGTTTGCTAGCTGTGTTAGGTGTATTTGCAAGCTGCAGGCCTTTGTAACAATTGGCTGCCTGCAAACCACTAGTGCTCCAATAAAGACTCCAAGATTCATCCTCTCAAAATGTGGCTTCTCCATTTTTCTCACCTTACAACACATGTACTCATGTATGAAGCACAGATTAGAAATAAGGCAAAAAGGCTTTTCTCTTACTGTCTAAATTAACTTACCCCACTCAACAAGGTCACTTTTTACTCGATAAAGCTCTTACCATTATCTGATAATGATAGCATTATCATATGCCAGGCACTTTTTCTCACCATTTAAACCTCAGTAATTCTAACAGCCAGACTTGTGAAGTAGGAAATGTTATTAATCTCCACTTCACAAATGAGGAATCTGAGTCCCAGAAAGGCTAACTACTAATTTGGGTTACTTGTTTTCCTGGAGCCTGCCACTCAGATTATCCTTTAGTCAAAACAAAATTATGTTACATTAAGCACATACTATAAAGTATACCATAACTTTGCTGTGTAAAAATATTCTAACTTTCTTTGAGAGTCAGGTCTCACCCCTTCCACCCATGGCTACCTACTTTCTGTCCCTTAAAGTCTCCTTTGATTCCCCCACCTCCTCAAAAGTAGGACCCAACACTGGTCATGTTTTTATCCCTAGCACAATACTTTCTATCAAGTAGCTTCTCATCATTTGTTGAGTGATTGAATGGGTTCAGGGACTTGGATAAATTAGTGTGTTTTATTAGATTTCTAAAGATAGAGTGAACCTTCTGATGCCTTCTTACAGAAAACGGGCTACTTCATTATCAAAGTTAATTTATTACAATGTAGTTTGTATAGTCAAGAAATGTGCTACAGGATTGCTTCCTTCCTCTTGTAGATCCTCACGAAGGATTCTGTGACCATTAGTGTGGATGGCGTAGTCTATTACCGTGTTCAGAACGCAACCCTGGCTGTGGCAAATATCACCAATGCAGACTCTGCCACCCGTCTTTTGGCTCAGACTACTCTCAGGAATGTTCTAGGCACCAAGAACCTTTCTCAGATTCTCTCTGACAGAGAAGAAATCGCCCACAACATGCAGGTGAGGAACATACAGACATGGCAGCCCCCTGGAAACTGACCACGAAAGCAAGGAGCGTGTGGATGTTTGAGAATCCTTTGCTAATTGAAGTTGAGGTATCCTTGGTCTCTTTGTATTTAGTAGGGTTTTCCAGACTTGGAAGGACACGGTTTCCATATGAACAACCTCTGGGTTCCTAACATGACAGTGAATGTTATTTTTACTTCCTTCCAGTGTGTGCTTTCTTTTTCCAGAAGTAGTGGAACTTTTGGTTTAGTGTAAACTTGGACATGTTAGAGCTCTCTTTTGTGGGTGTGTCCCGCACCTTCCCTTCTGTTGTGCCCAGTCTTACCCGTATGATAGATATCTAGTTAAACCTGGCTTGTTCAACAAGATAGTAGATATATTGAAGAAATAGGTGGCAGATTTATAGACTGGAAATCTGAATTCCTACTCAATTTGTATAGATCTCATCGTGATCATATTCCACACCTCTGCAACTTTATGAAATACCCAATATGAGTTCATTCCTACCCTTTTAAAGGAGGAAAACAATCAGATGCCAGTGGCTCATACCTCTAAGCCTAGCTACTCAGGAGAATGAGCTCTGAGGATTACAGTTCAAAGCCAGTCTGGGCAGGAATGTTCCTGAGATGCTTATCTCAAGTTAACCATAACAACTCAGAAGTGGAGCTGGGGCTAAAGTGTTAGAATGCTAATCTTCAGCACAAAAGCTCAAGGATAGCACCCAGCCCCTGAGTTCTAGCCCCAGGACTGGCAAAAACAAAAAAAATAAAGGAGGAAAACATGCACCAAGAAATAATATGACTTGCACTTAGTCACATTAGCTCAGGAGTTAGCAAGCTATAGTTCCCAGAGTCAGCCACCTGTATTTGTAAGGTTTCATTTATATACATCCATAGCATTCATTCATGATGGTTGCTTTTGACCTACATTTTTAATCATTGCAACAGGAACTGAAAATAAACAGTTCTTACAGCCAGGTACTGGTGGTTCATGCCTATAATCTGAGACTAAGATCTGAGGATTGTGGTCTGACATCAGCCTGGGCTGGAAAGTCTGTGAGACTTTCCTCTTTAATAAAATACTCAGAAAAGGCCAGAAGTGGCACTGCGGCTCAAGTGGTAGAGCACTAAACTTGAGCAAAAATAAGCTAAAAGCTCAGGGACAGCACCCAAGACCTAAGTTCAAAGCCCTAGGATCAGTACACACAAAACACACACACACACACACACACACACACACACACACTTCCTACACAGCCCTCTTAGAAGAGGTTGGCCAACCTCTGTACTAGCTCAATTAGTAACAGAATGGAGATCAGTTCTCTAACAACCCAGCCCCTAACTGGGCATAAGGATAATTTTTTGTGCCACTCTCCCAGCACCTTATCTGTTTCACATCCCAGTGAAAGCAGCTGCTCTGGCCATCTGAGCAGAGATGGACGTTGACTCGATTGGCTTCTCTTCCCAACAGTCTACCTTGGATGATGCCACTGATGACTGGGGAATCAAGGTGGAGCGTGTGGAAATTAAGGATGTAAAGCTGCCAGTGCAGCTCCAGAGAGCTATGGCAGCAGAAGCAGAAGCAGCCCGCGAGGCAAGAGCCAAGGTAATGTTTTCTGTTTCTTTGGAGGGTTTTTGTTGTTGTTGTTTTTCTTGCTGAACTTTTTTCCCCCCAAAATAAGATGCTCACTTTAAACACCTGAGACAGTTCTGAAGGCCACCAATTCTTTAACAGTTTTATGTTCTTGGGTTTTATTTAATTAGGTTGTTGCAGGGCTGGCCAAAACAGAATGTTACATGTGCAAATTCTGCACAATGTCTCATGGGGCTCTCAGTCCATTAGAATCCTGCCTATGTATTAACTCTGTATTGGGTGATGTGGCCCCTTGGGAAGCACTGAGGAAAAATGTGTTGAGCTGACCTGAAACATAGTATCATTTAAGATGAGAATATATGAAAATTCAGGCTGCCTCACCAGACCCAGGATCAGGAAGCAGAGACAATCCTCACCAGAATTAAATGTGGGAACCATAAAGCAGTCAAGGATAAAGGGAGCTAGTCAGTCTTTCCTAGGCCATGTACCACTGTAAAATAGTGCTGGTTGGAGGACTTCTGACTCACAAGTTCAAGTATATTCCCAAATGAGCAGTAAAGGAGACAGACCACATTCACAGAAGAGAGCGTCTCATTGATCCAACTGTGGCCCGAGGGCACGGCCCAATAGCCTCACCCTGTGAGCAGCTAGAGAAGGAGTTCTCTTAGAGGTGTTGCTATGAATTTGACAAATCAACTAAATGCAAAAAAAAAAAAGAATCAGATTGTCATTAGAATATGGTAGTAGCTGGTGAAGATGGCTGGCCACGGAACCTTGTTCTCTTAGGATGCCCTTGAAGCCACAAATTGACCACCATCATTTCCTAGCCAGCCACAGGCAGAAGAATAAAGTGTTTGGGATAGGTTTTCCTAATATGATCATTGATGCTCAGCATAATAACCCAATGATACTACATAATCTTCATGTGCCTTCTTTTAAACCCATAACTTCTTAGGAACTAAATTATATGTATATGTATGATATATGTATATGTATTATATACATATATATGATACAGATCATATATATGATTGTGTTAGTGATGTTCCCTAATATCAGCTAATTATTTTGAAAATTAGAAACTGCTCTTAGCTAGTCATTATCTTAAACCTCACTTCTAAACCATATTGAATAATAAAATTTCCCATATGTGGACTTCATAGACTCCTCAGAGTTCATCGTCCAAAAGTGCCAGTGCTTGCTCAGGCACTGCAACCTCCTATTCCCTTGTCATCAATTAACCACAGCACTGTTTTCCACTGAGCTGAGACTTGGCTCCAGAAGCCATCTGCAGTACTCCGGGTAACAGAGTTTGCCCCGAAAAGTGAAAGTCACATGCCGTCCTTGTCAATGAGAGATTGAAGCCCAGGAAAGCTAAGTGAGTGAGTTCTTCAGTGTCACCCCATGGCATTGCAAATTAGAAATCCCTGCTTTCCTCCCAGCCTCCCCTGCCTTCTATGCCATTCTTGACAGCATGGAGAGTGCCTGTCCACTCTTTATAGCCAGAAGAAAAAAGAAATTCTGAATTAGTATGCTTTCAGTGGGATGGGGCTGGAAGGTTAGTCTGCAAGGTTCTCAGGAAACCTGGGCTGACTATCTTCAAGGTTAGGGTTTGCACAATGAACCTGACCCTGCTGCGAAGTGCAGTAATTCTGCAGCAATCATAGCCTTATATTCATGTCCCCATGAAAACTAAGGAACCCTGCCTACTTTAACAAAACAGCCACAGAAAACAGAAAGAGAGGGTAGGGGAACCAATAGCTTAAGAGACACTGGAGAAAAAAAATCCTTCAAGTTAATTAGCCATAGGGATTAAAAAGAGGTGCTTCCCTTGATAAACAGCAGAGTGGCTTGAAAAACAAGGTAAGAACCAAATGTGGGCAGGTGAGAGAGGACCTGGAGTGCTTGCATTCTTCTGGTGGGAGTGTACGCTGGTACAACCACTTTGCAGTAAAGTGGCAGTGCATCTACCAAAGCTGAATGTTTGCTACACTGTAGAAGCTATTGCTCCATTCCTAAGTAAGTGGCTTACAGCAATGTACCAAAAGCCATGACTGGGATGTTCATGGCAGCACTTCATAATTGCCCCCAACATGGCAACTCCCATGTCTGTTGCTAGATGTTCTATGAATAAATACGATGCAGCAAAGAGGAAGAAGCTATATCTGTTCACAAAGTAGAAGATTTGTGAGACACAAAAGAAGACAGATTTTTCTACACATTTTACAATAGGTTCAAAGTTTATAAACCAGCTTTTAATGGCCTCAGATCAGAAAAATGCCTGGCATGTGCCAGAGTTGACTGACCTGGAGCTACTGCACATTTGGCAAAAAGCCCTCCCCTCCCCCAAAGAACTTGCTTTGTTCTCTAAGATGCTATGCAGAGTGCACTCAGCCTACCTCTAGACAAAGCCTGTAGTATTGTGTTCATAGATTTGGCAGCTTGCTCAAAGCAGCTTTTCTACGAACAAAATGTGTACCCATCCTGATGGGTCTGGCTTTGCTGCCAAGAGATTGTGTATTAATTGGCAGTGGGAAATGAGATAGCTCAGCAGTTGGTCCATGTTCAGAAAAAAAAAAAAATAGTGCCTAATTGGACACATGAGCTGACATGGAAAAAAATATCAGAGGCTGCTGGTCCCATGGTAAGGGTTCTTTCTGCATTCACTAGTGCTTATCCTGGAGTACAATTACATGCATCTCTTTGACCATGTCTGGCACTTGCCCACCAAGGCAGGACATAGTGGTTTGCTTTGATAATTGAAGGTTTAATTCTGTTCTTTCTCTCAGTAAGTCCCAGATCCTATATCAGTTAATGTCAATATCTATATAAGTAAAACCCAGAAACTTGAGTATCAGGCCCTCTGCTCTCCCCTTCCCATACCAAATCCATCTCCAAATACTGCTGATTCTCTCCCCAAATGCCTCCTCAATCTATCTTACCCTCTAGCCTCCCTGGGGCCCTCCCCCAGTCTCTTCTCACCAATCTCTGCACCTCCCTCTGTGTTTTCTCAAATTAGGCAGCAAGAAGGAAGAAGGACAGAAGATGAATTAAACCCCTTTAAAGCTTTTCCACACCAGGTGCTGGTGCTCATGCCTGTAATCCTCGCTACTCAGGAAGCTGAGATCTGAGGATAGCCATCCCAGGCAGGAAAGTTCATGAAAGTCTTACTTACAATTAACCACCAAAAAGCCAGAAGTGGCTGTGACCCAAGTGGCAGAACACCAGCCTTGAACTAAAAAGGCAAGATCAAAGACAGTGTTCAGGCCCTGAATTCAGGCTCCAGGACTAGCACACACACACACAAAATATTTTTTACTAGATATGCTTCTCAGTATCATAAATGAATTAAATTATAACTATGTATTTATTGCTAGAATGAGATAGGATTCCATATAAGTTTTATTCTTATTTTTCATTTTGATGGATGAAGATGCCTAATTTACATATGTAAACAGAACTTTTTTTAAAGGTACTATAAGTCCTTATTTCAGCCTCTTATCAAAACATGCATCGAATGCTCTATCAGTTTTTGCTTCAATAAGATTCTCTTTGCTTTTTTTGAAATCAAAGAATTGCAAAAGGATTTGTAATCATTTGGTGATTATGCCTTGATGTTAATGGATTGCTCCGGTCTGACTCCCCTACTGTCCTTTCCTGCTCACAGGTGATTGCAGCTGAGGGAGAAATGAATGCATCCAGAGCTTTGAAAGAAGCCTCCATTGTCATCACCGAGTCTCCCGCAGCCCTTCAGCTCCGGTACCTTCAGACTCTGACCACCATTGCTGCTGAGAAGAACTCCACCATCGTCTTCCCTTTGCCCATAGATATGTTGCAAGGCCTCATGGGGGCAAAGCAATGAGTCAGATGCGCTAGGGGAGAGATTGGCTGTACCCTTATAAGGATAAGGGGACCAATTTAGCCTTCAGCTCACAAGGAGAGAGAGTAGGGCAGGAAATTGCATATCCTCCCTCCCTTTCCCTTTCCATATGTTGAATGTAAAACTTTTAGAATGTATAGTGGTCATAAAAACAGATAAAAGAATTGTTAGCTTTGTGGCTGGGGGTGTTACTCAGGGCTAGAGCACTTGGATTACATGCCTGAGGCCCTGAGTCTGATCTGTAGCACCATTAGAAAGGGACAAGGTGGGAAAGAAAGAATTGTTAGTTTGTAAATACTGAAAGAGAAAGATTGATAATTTATATATATATATGTATGATAATCTCCTAAGTCTTCAAAATATTTTAGGAGTTTGTATTTTTAGAACATTTTGTAGAAGATTAACCCTCTCTTCTGAATTTTCTATCAGCAGCCAGGCCAAGAGCAAGAACATAGAGTAGACTGCCATCTGACTCCCCTTAGCCAGATAAATGCTTTGCAGAAAGTTATGACTTGGGCTATCAGCAGCTTCTTGGGGCCATCTGTGCCTTACCTCCAGGGAATCTTAATGTCTCCCTCATATCCATCTCCTTGCTAAACACAAACCATGTGTCAGAGAATCCTCAGTGAATAGGCCCTCTTTTATGGAAACCTGTCAGAACTAGGGGAAATTAGATAAAGATTACCCCAAACCCTTCAAAGACTTAAATTCACTGTTGTGGTGGTCCTTTTGAAAATAACAGGTGCATTTTTTTCCACTTCTCTGAGCCTCCTTTTATGAGTAAACAATGCTCTGTGATCTGCCTTTCAAACCAATTTAAATACTTTTCACAAAAGTGCTTTTCTCACCTTGCCGATTTTTTTTCATATATCAGGTTTTGAATAGTTTTGCTATTTTATAAAAAATATTGTCCAAGTTTTATAAACAATTGTTATATACCCCTCTAATAGCTTAGGGACTAAAACACTTAAAAAGAGTATCTTCGGAGGACCATTGTATTTCAATAACCGCAGGCTACAAACTTACAGGCTCTGGGATACCTTGGTTATGAATTCCATTAATTAGTAGCATAAGGAACTCATAATACAGTGGACATGTAATATGTGACAATCTTGGGAAGACACTGGCACTTAGGGTGTCATCTATAGAGATGTAGAACTGCTTTTTCTTGCATGTACTTTGATGTAGAAAGGGATGTGGCAAGTGTATTTAGACCAGGGTTTCTTAGTCTGTAATATGAGGAAGCCTCTTCCATTTTGAATCACCTGACCCTCTTCCTTCCTGATTTGGAAAGCCGGCTACCGACATTTGCAGCACTTCCTCTTTGAGGCTCTCAGTTCCCCCAAAGTCTAAATATAAGTCATCTATTCCCGGTAGCACTCTCTGTATCTGCCTTTACACCTTAGCTGAATTACTGTCAGTCCCAGCCTGTTGGTCCTTCCTGTCTTGTATATCCCATTTCCAAGCTCATTTTAGAAAACTTTGAACCACCCTCCACCCAGATTCCTAGTGGAGCTGATTAGAAGTTATGGCACATTTCAACTAGGGACTCAAGTTGCACTTACATTTTGAATTTTCTTCAAGTCATGGTTTTTGTGTTGTGAAGTGGCTCACACATAGTGACTAAGGATCGGGAAACGTCATGTCCAGATGAATAGCAGTGCACCAGGTTCCCTGTGTTTTGCTCTCCAGGTATTGAGTGATCCGCCTTTTTGCGTCTGTGAATTCCTAGTCCAGTAGGTTGAAGTTCAGTGGAGCTAGAGGGAACTCCAGGACGGAGCAGTGCTGGTGCCGGGGTTTGCACCTGCCTCCCCTTCCAACAATGCAGAATAAAGCATGTGCACTGGGATTGATTTTCTCTGCATTTCATTTTTCAGAAGGGTCCCAACAGATCCTCCAGTACCAGGATGGCCACCTTGCCCCAAGAATTTTCCCCAGCGTAGGTGAGACACAGACCCACAAAGCCTTGGGCTGGCTTCATTGCCCTTCATGTTCTTCCATGTGAGACAGGAACCGACTTCTTGTCACTTAGCTATTCACACAGACCTATGTCTGCTTAGAAGAACAATATGAAATCAATGGATTTTACCTTTTTACCTCCAATTTTGAAGAACCATCTTGAAGTAATGGCAGCCTATCACAAGGCTGGTTAGCCTCAAACCCAAAGCTATCTAATACTGATGACTTCTAAGGTGTCTCAGTATAGCTTCATGTGACACAACTTGTCTCCATCTTTCCTATACGAACACCACTGCCACCGTCACATTTTCTATGTAGATTACACATTTCCCAAGACTTAAATCTCGTTGGACTTTGCAGCCATACCTAAGAAAGTTTTACACTTTAGTTTGGGGTCATCTGATTTAGCTAAAGTTCAGTCCAAAAATGAGAGGAGTTGCTGGCGTGCTCATAACTATGTGTTATAACAACACTTCAGTGGAAGAAGCCAGAGTTCTATGTACTTTCCATTTTCATGGTTCTTTTTTTTTAATTTATTATTATAGAGGTGATAGTTTTTTTTCTTTTTTTTTTCTATTCTGGTCCTGGGGCTTGAACTCAGGGCCTGGGTGCTGTCCCTCAGCTTCTTTGTGCTCAAGTCTAGCACTCTACCATTTGAGCCACAGTGCCACTTCTGGCTTTTTTTTTTTTTTTTTGGTCAGTCGTGGCGCTTGAACTCTGGACCTGGGTGCTGTCCCTCAGCTCTTCAGCTCAAGGTTAGCATTCTACCACTTGAGCCACAGTGCCACTTCCAGATGGTTTATTGGAGATAGGAGTCTCACGGACATTCTTGCCCCAGCTGGCTTTGAACCATGATCCTCAGATCTCAGCCTCCTGAGTAGACAGGATTACAGGCATAAGCCACCTGTGCCCAGCTGAGGCGGTAGTTTTTTTGGGGGGGGGTCCGGTTGTGGAGTCTGAACTCTGGGCCTGGGCGCTGTCCCTCAGCTCTTCAGCTCAAGGCTAGCGCTCTACCACTTGAGCCACAGTTCCACTTCCAGCTTTTTTCTTTTTGCTTATGTGGTGCTGGGGAATCGAACCCAGGGCCTCATGCATGCAAGGCAAGCACTCTACCACTGAGCCATCTTCCCAGCCCTGAGGTGGTAGTTTTTGAACTACGTATTTATCTTGTGATCTCAATAGCACATCTTCCCAAGGTTAGTCAGCTAACTAAACCATACAGAACCCAGAACATTTTACTTATGGGTTTTGAACTTTGATAGTACCAAGTTCCACTTCCCCATCACCCAACCCCACAAAGGAAACTATACATTAGTAAAATATTTGAAGTGCCTTTCACCAGAACAAATTATTAAGTATATATTTGTAATATACCATAAAGTAAACCAATGAGAAATGAGGCTTTAAAAATATATTAATCAGTTATAGAAATGTTATAATTTTAAATCAGGCTCTACACTCAATTTCTCTTGCTCTTAAGTATCTATTTTTTATTACTGCTTTAAAAATGAAATTTGAACCATCTATTTGTAAAATTCTGTGAAGTGCTTCCAAGATTCTACAGAGTTCTATAGAATTCTATGACTCTTAGGTTACTACTCCAGCTTATAATGTGACCTTGAATAAGCCCTTTCCCCTCAACTTCTTTCCTCACCAGTCAAATGAAATTATAGTTCACCTGTTCAGGCCGTGGCTGTTTTGCAAATGCATTGGAAGCTGATAAATACAGAGGCATGCCGCACAGATGTGCATACTTAACTGAGTGACAATTCCCCCCCCCCTACACACATGAACCTACTTCAGAATCACTAGACTAGATCACCTTTAAGATCCTAACCTCAAAAAGTTTTGCAGTTCCAATGATATTTTCCCCATGGAAACCAGGGAGAAGGCGTAAGCCAAGCATTATGCAAGATAGTCTGTCTTATCTTTCATTTCCATTCATAATCCTATTTGGTTGTGTTGATCAGGCTAGGGGAAATCCCTGAATTTATTGAGATTATTTACCAATGCCAGTAACACCAGGTTTACAGCAGATCCTGGCTCATATCAGGCTAGGATTTGCAAAAAGAAGTGATCCTTCCTTCCCAGAAACACATTGTTCAAGTGGGGCCTCTTAAGAGCTCCCAGAAGCAGGGGCAAATTTAATTGGATTGTAGTGGTGCCCTTCTGGCTCATGAACTCTTAAGATCTGAGGAAAATCTCAAAATTTGGAAGCAATTGTTCCTAACCTTGTCTAGGAAATGTTTTAGAACAGTCCTTTCTCTTCTAAGCATTCATTACCCTAATATGGATGAAAGACAGAATGCCTGGCTAACATCTCTGGCTACCAGACTGAGGAGGGCAAAGCCCATAGAGTCAACAGGAACCCCAAATCCATTGGATTGAGTCAACCATGAAGGCCCCTAAACTCTGGACTCGCAGTAGTGTGCTCATTGCTTTTATTTAGTTTCAGTTTGGTTCTCCATGTCCTACAGTCAAAGATCCAACCTGACCCACAGCACAGTGTGTCTTTACCATGAGTGTATACAACAAACTAGGCTCTTTGAATTTTCTTTTTCCAATCTTGAGCCCTTACTAGATAGGGCATATGCTGAGTTAAGAAAAACCTTCTTAATGATTCTCAGCCTTTTGGCTAAGATTAAATAACCTTTTTTAAACAAAAAGCTTAAGATCACTTAAATGGCTTAAGCCATCAGCCACTTTTTATACTACCTTGGGTTAGGTAATAAACATACTACTATCCATTTGCAAAGGGGGAATTGGGAGCTTAGAGAAAACTTACTTTTCAAGAAGAAAAACATTTTGGTGGTACTAGGGTTTGAACTCAGGACTGGCACTCTACCACGTGAGCCATTCCTTGATTTTTGTGGCATTTTTAGAGACAGTCATGGATTTTTCTGCCTAGGTTGGCTTCAAACTTTGATCCTCTAGATTCCAGCCTCCTGAGCAGCTAAGATTACAAGTATAAGCTACCTGTGCTTGACAAAAACATTTTTGGTGCTGAGGACTGATCCGTGGTAAGCTTGTATTCTACCACTAAGCTACATTCCCGACTCACAAAAAAAAATTACATTTTATGGTTTGCTCAAAATTAAGTACACCTGTTATATTGCTTAAGACACCACCATGCGGGAACCTAGGCTTGCCAGTCTCCAAGAGAGGTCATTCTGGCTTCTTAGTCTGTGTCATAGTGACTTCTCCATTGTGGAACATCATGAAATCTGAAACTATGAGGAAGACAAAATGTGGTTGCACTGAAACTACTCCTGATTTGCTCTTTTGCCCCTAAGATAATTTTTTTAAAACCTTCCCCTAAGGAAGCCAGGGCAATTCCGTTGGCCCAAGCAATTCCCCTTCTCAAAACATTGCAAAACTTTCCTGTAGCCACAATTGCACCCCTACATGCCAGCACAAGGAAGTAATAAACTTTGTTCCAACAACCCTGAAACTGCCTCCAGGAAGGAAGGTTCTAGAAGCCTCCATTGGTAACTGCTACTTTTGTTCCAGCACATTATGCGTTCATGAAAGTCGCCTTTGGTGGGTAAGCAAGAGCAAGCCATGTAGGGTAAAATCTAAACAGAGCCCTCGGCATGGCATTCAAGGTGCCTGCCTGTCGTCCAGCTTCACAGCCCAGCGCTCCTCACCTTCTGTTCCAGCCACACACTGGCTGTTCTGGTGCCCAGTATTCTTCCCCAGCACACCCTCTGCCTGACATGACTCAGCCTGTCCCCAAACTTCACTTGGAAAACTCCTTTCCCCATCCACCTATCCTCGTCATTTCTGCGATGAAGCAGAGTCTCTAGAGGTTAAGGCCTCTGGGGAATCATGCTTTTAAAAAGCTCCCTGGAGGATGTCAGGGCTCAGCCAGCTTTGGAAACGACAGTGTAAACACACACACACACACACACACACACACACACACACACACACACACTTCCCACCACATAAATCTCACACTGCCTTCTTCTGTAGTTCTGTCCACAGAAGCTTCTGTCCATCCACAGGAGACCATGGGCAAAAGGGGGAATGTGATGAGATCTAGCGGAAAGCAAGGGGATGGCTCTGTCATCCAGCCGCCTCCTGGGCTGGTGTGCAGCCTCCATGGACAAAAGAGTTTGAAGCAGTTAGTGGAAGGTCCCAAGAGGTCCTTTGGATTCCCTAAGCATAAGCAATGACTCAGGCGTAGGGGACCATGTAGAACACCAAGGAGCCCGTTCCAGTACCCAGAAACTACACACTTGGGCACATCTAGGGTAGGTAGTTCTTACAATGACAGCTACAAAAAGCAGATTTCTCCAGACATCGTGGGCAGCAGATTGGACTTGTGAGGATTAGCAGTATAGTGGAGGTATGGCTTAAGGGGTAGATCACCAACCACAAGCAAAAAAGCCAAACAAGAATCTAAGGTCTTGAGTTCGAGGTCCAGTACTGGCACAAAACATGGAGAGTTAGGGACTGAGTTCTATAGCTCAGTGGAAGAATGCTTGTCTACTATGTACTAAGGCCCTGGGTTCAATCCCTGTGCTGAGGGGAACAGATGACACAAAAACACTACCACTATCATACCATTCCATTTTAATTAATTAATTTTGTCAGTGTGCGGCCTGAACTCAGGGCCTGAGCTTTTTCACTCAGGCTAGCTCTCTACCACTTGAGCCACAGCACCCCTCCCGTTTTTCCTGGTGGTTGGTTGGAATCTCATGGACTCGCCTGCCTGGGTTTTGAACCACGATCCTCAGATCTTAGCCTCCTGAGTAGCTAGGATTACAGGCGTGAGGTACCAGTGCCTGACTCAGCATTAAAGTTTAAGAGAACATTTTGCGTTTGGCTTGGGATGGCCTGAGAGTTGTGGCAGTCTTTCCTGGACACTTGTGCCCAGGCTGTGGA